GAGGGAGAGAGAGAGAGAGAGTTGGGCTGGTTGTGCGGCATGATGGACAGCTTCACTGTGGCCAGCGGCACACTTCGGCCGGCTCATTTTGCCAGTTGAAGCGCGGGCGAGCAGACGCTTTCATCGGCGAGCGTTCAGTTGCGGGACTTGTGGTGTGTTTTTGGCGCCAGATATATTTCGAATAATTTGTATAAATAAATAAGTGAACAGCGGGCGCAGCGCGTTAATTAAACAAAACCAAAAAGAAACGGGGCAGCAAGCAAACATTTTTCACGCCTTGTAAGTCTTTTTCGGCAAGGGAAAACCGAGTGGCGCTAGATGTATTATGCATGCTATAAACACATATATTTAATCATACGCACATTCAAATTTGTTTTCATTTTTCTTTTGCCTAATGTGCGAAAAGCAAAACAAATAATGAATCCAAAATATTTCAATATAAGAATAGTTAAATTTATAAAAATTACCAAAAATTTGTGTACAAGAACTTCAATTTTTGCCCGTTGCGATTGAATTGCTTTTTTGTTTTCTTTTTTTTTTTTTGTTTTTATGATTTTGTGCGCAACAAGAAGAACAACAGCACTTAACCAACTTTGATTAGCTAAATAAATGAACAGCAACAAAAAGAATAAAATAAAAAACTGCCAAGCCAGCAGCTAATCAGGCGGCTAAGTGGAAAACTTTCTGCACAGCACCGTAGGGCACAAAACCATATTTTAGGGCATTATTCGCAGCCTCTGACCTCAGTCAGTGTATGGTTCTCTAAGCTGCATTTCCTTCAAAACTAGCGTATTAAAACAAGGCATGTGAAGCATGTATTTGTATAGGAATAACTCAAAACATTTTATGTATCAAAAGTATACGATTTAGAGTACTATATCACATTGCCTTTAAGGGCAAATCTATTTTTGTAGGAACTTGAAAATAAAAATCATGCTGATAGGACTTTGGTCAAAAAACATTTGATCAGCAAAACGTCCACTTTATGAATATATATATTAATATATTAAAATTTATTTTAATACTTTTAAATTTATAACGAACTCATAAAATCCGCTTGCATATTATTTAAGCAAATAGCGAAAAGAAAGCAATAAAAGTGCGATCGAATCGATTGTTAACAGAATTTTCGTACATATAAAAGGAAAGCTTTTAGGATTGTGTGCCATGGTGCGCTGTGAAAGACCAGCTCGGTCAGGCAATGAGCCAGAAAATGTGCGCACACACATACAAACACATAGAGCATAATTGCATTAAGTGACCTATACACACACACACACATAGCAATCGACAGGACTCGCAATAGCTAAACTCATTTATTATTATAATTGCTTTAAAAAAAACACACACACATACACAAACACACACACTTGGCAAAATTTGTTGCATGACCAAATCGTGTTGCCAATTCTGCTGGTTCTTTTCGTGAGATTGTGTGTGTGTGTGTGTGTGTGTGTATGTGTGTGTGTTGTGTTTCGATTTCCGTTGCAAAGCTACTTGCGCCGCCAGCATCATTTACCACATAAACATTAACATTAACTAGGCGACACTCAGCCGACTCAGCCATGCCCCTCCCCCCTCTCTCTCTCACATACACACACACACACACAGCCGTACACACATTGTGTCTATGTTGAGCAGAAAACAACAAGCGGCAACAATTCATCATCAGAGTATTCAGTATCCAGCCATATGTACATATAATTATTTCAGCTCAATCCCCGGCAATAGTATCGATTGCTCCTATTTTGTCCCTCATATTATCCAAGTATATCTAGCTAGCGGCCATTTTTCTTTGCCGTATTTTGTTTTTCTACCGTTTTTTTTGGCAAACATCAATTTCAATAGGAGTTTAATTTATGCAGCATCACATTTTATGTGCTTCGTGTCCAACAGCAGCCATTTTAATTATGTCGTTCATTAATTTTCCATATTTATCAGAAATTATGTATTAATTTCCTGAATAACAAATTTTAAATTTATTATTTATTTTTGCGTTTCATTAAGTTCAAAATCATAAGTGAGACAGAGTATCATCAAAACTTAAAACACTTTTCGGAATCTGGACTCAATTATGTCAGTTATCAATTTTTTCTTTAAATTCTTTTGAATGTTACTTTTTATGCGACTTTCCTTCTTTGTCCCGTTTAGTTCGTTTAGCAATTAGCTTGCTCTTCAAATATCAAAATAATCAAATTGTTTCCTTTGCTTGTTCTTGGTCAAGTGTTTCGACAATTTCGTAAATTTGAACTTACTCTGACGAATCGAATATGAAGATTTCGTATTTATAATCTAATTTGGTTTTTTCATGTGAATGCACACAACCCCTTATTGATTTAATTTTGTAAATGCGCTTCTCCCAATCTGTTTGCTTCCATCCAAGTCGAGCTGTCCACCAGGCAATTAGACTAGCTGGCCTCAAGGCTTAAGCTCCCGGGTGCTACACGAATATACAATTAGCCATCGAGGTTTCTATATTAGCAGACGCAATTAGCTGGCCACAATACGTGGTCGGGTTGTGTTGCAACTGCCTGTTGCACGTGGCGTATACGCAATGTCGCTGTCGCATTAATTGTACAGGAACATGGAGCAGATGAGAAGGCAACTGTCGCTCCCTGACAGCAGCAAACTGGCATTTGAACTGATGGGCCAGCTAATTGCCATACAGCTGCACAACAGCTCCAACAACAACAGCAACTACAACAACAACAATAAGGCAAGCAACAAAGTCTCATAACTCAATTGCATTGCTTCAGCTACTTCCCATTGGCTGCATTTAAAGACGCCAAAGGTTTGCTGGCCTTTTTAAACAGTAAGCAAAATTGGTTACTATATAAAGAGAATTAGTTAGAATTTATGTGACATTTTTCGAATTTGTGCGAGGAATGTTTTAATATGTGCGAATATGTTTTCAGAAACGAAACATAAACTCAATCTTGGCCAACTATTTTACAAGCAGTAGAACGAACTTATTACCATGGAGGACAGTTTTTGGTGGCCATTAAACAATTTGATCTATAAATCTAATCAGCTAAGGAGTTAATGATTTCAAACATGCTTTATACAAGCACTTTTACAGGCTTAGTTCTGTTTAATGTGAGCATGGAGGTGTGCAGCTAAAACTAAGCTAAACTGACATATGAATTGTTACTCGTTCGCCTGCTCCGTGAGTTGGCAATATTCAGCTTTGCATAAGCATTCAAGAATTATATTTGCTGGCAAATAAAGTGACCATGGAGGTTTTATCAGCACAAGGGGTAACATGATAACTTTGAAGATGTACATGTTTCATGGAGACACCATCTGCCCTTTCTACTCCCCAAAGATCTACCTTAAACTTTGACAAACACAAAAATATGTGTGCTTACTTTATATAACCTGTAAACAAAAATGCTCAACAAATGAGGTATATATGTAACAGACAGGCAGATTTAATAAGGATGATAAGGAAAGTAACTTTAAGCTGTAAAACTTTAACAGTGATTCTCAAACTGTTGCTACAAGATATAAAGTTACACGAGGTTATGGATATCTTGGTCAATTTTTTGTTGTATATATAAATATATAAAGTAAACAACAAAAAATTAACAAAGATATTTATAACGTCATATATACTTATACGTATACTTATTTATATAGTCGCCCACCGATGCGCGAGGCCAGACTCTCAATGCATGAACTATATACACATACTTCTCTATATATTTATTTACTTACATATCTACAGGGTATTTGCAAGTCGTACACTTGACAGCAGCTTAACGTAATCATAGTTGTTATTCCAAAGTTAGTTCCCGCTACATATCCATATTATTTCATCTGCCTGGCAGCTGGCAGCAGTAGAAATGAAGCATACGTCATGTTGGCCGTGACTTGTAGAATTTTAGTTTTGGGTTTTTGGGTTTAGCAATGCATTAACCAAACTGCCACAGACTGTAGAGCGTGTGTGTGTGTGTGTCTGTGTGGGTGTGTGTAATTGTATTCGTTAGTTTGTTAGTGTTAAAACTCAATCAAGTGGAATGAGTTTTGATTAAAGATATAACAAAGTTAGGCAAGAAACTTGCAGGGCTAACTGAAGCATGTGCCGTGTTGTTGTTTCTCGAGTGTGTGTGTGTGTGCGTGTGTGTGTCTGTGTCTGTGTATGTTGCAGCATCGATCGATGCTGGGTTGTACAACTGCAAAGGAGAAATTTAATTACAAACTGAATACCCCGACGGCTAGCGCTAAAACGAACGCTAATTAATTAGACAATAAACCGATTAATTGAAGTGCGCTCCAGCATGCTGCCCGACGGCCAGGCATTGTCCTCTATGCAGATGAGTATGTGGCCATGCGTCGCCAGGTCATCAGGACTCCGACATATTGCAATCAAAGCCATGTCAGCCAACAATGCCAGAGCGTGTGTGAGGGACGCGCCACACGCCTGAAAGGAGTTTACATATTTTCATTTCATTGCAGCTGCAAGTAAACAAGCTACCTGTGCCAGTGCTTGTATATGTCAGTTCTTTGTTTATTACGCTCTATATATATATATATATATATATACACATTGTATATTGAGAGCTTATTACCAAGAACCTGGAATTAACATATAAATTAACACCGAGCTGTTGACGGCTGTATATTAGTTTTAAGCCGAATAAGTTCGAACCGGAATTCCAATTTAGCTTTTACAATAAACCAAACCTAATGTCAAATGGGATCAAATTAGATCAATACACTCTATATAAAAAGTCAAAACTATTTCATTTAGATTCTAAAATGATAGGCCAAGTTTTCAAGCCAAATTGTGGGTTTTACAATATGAAAAGCTCAGTTGGTTCAAACCGTAAACTGAACCAGCGACCTTCTTTTTACCGCTTCACCTACTATTTACACACCTATACATATGCATATTTATAAAGATTTTCGTGCTCTGGATTAACACACATGCACACACGAATGCACAACATGGTAAGAAAACAACCAACCGACACTCCTTTTATTTGTCTCCATTACAGCACTGACTATGGCAACAGCAGCCTATTTTGAGATGACAGTATCGGGGGCTATGCCACCACAGCCGCAGGATAATCTACGCACATTTCTCAAGCATTTGTATGCCGAGTGCGTCTATCGCTACCAGAATGACACGGCCACAGCCCAACTGGCAACAGGTTTGTTCAATACCCTATTATATTTGAGTTGAAAGCTGCTCAGGTTTCCGTCAACAACGCTCGTAGCACTCATTTGACACTCGCACAGGCTTATTGATACATTCTACTTATTATTATAAAGTACAGTCACACAAAATATATTAACGATAAACTCAAATACGATTACATATGAAAAATGCCTTGATATTTCATATATTGACACTTAAATTACGGTTACATTTCATAATGGACACACTCAAAGTAAAGCCACTCTGAGAAAAAAAAGAGTCATAAGAATACGGTATCACTGAAAGCATTATAACTTTCATCACAATAATAAGCGATCGTGTTCATGCACAGTTTTAGTAAATACGGCACACTGAAGTTACTCAAGCATACGATCACATTTCAAATACGGCCTCACTGCAGTAAGATGTCAGTACGCTTCCAAAATCTATCTGAAATCTTACTACGAAGACGGTCACACCTAAAAGCGGCTATAACTTTAATACGGCGACACTTGAATTATAGAATATCCCATTCACAACTCGCGCTTGCCAACAAATCGACACTTTCATGAACACATATATGCTTGTATATATATTACCCCAACCAACATACGCTTCCCCTTACCCCCCTGATTAGAGCCTGACGATGGTGGGCTGCTGCTGGAGACATACACAATGATACCGCGCTACTTGGAGCAGGCGGTGCTCAATGAGGGCACCATTGATATGCAGGATGTGGATGAGGAGGCGGCCAGCGAGAACGAGCTCTATGCCACGGTTCTATCGGCAACAATGGCAACAAATCACCATTCACATAATACAAGTGAAATGGAAACCCTCTATTGTCCCGTGAATTTTGATGGCTATCTGTGCTGGCCACGAACACCAGCTGGCACCGTATTGAGTCAATACTGTCCCGACTTCGTTGAGGGTTTTAATAGCAAGTTTTTGGCACACAAAACGTGAGTTCAATGTAAAGTTAAACTTATAATCAAACTACATTTAAAGAGCGGCTAGCCTCAAAGCGTATTGTGTTAACCATAGACACGCCTACTATTTCAATTTATATTCCATTCTAAATGCATATCATATTCATATCATATTCATATATATATATTTTGGAAATGGTTAAGTCCATTTCGACTCCCTCCGTTCTCGACCGGCATATTCCTTTCTGCTAAATTCATGCCTTACAAATTGTTTGTGAAAATCTTTTGCGATAAAACAAATCTTAAATTTAAGAATCTGCAATCAACAATACTTGAGTCATAGAATATATCCATTAAAAATATTATAAAGTATAAGTTGCAGCTCATAGAAAAAAAATATGGAAGAAAAGAGCAAGGAGCAAAAAGTATAGAACATAGGACATAGAAAATAGAACATAGAAAATAGAACATAGAACATAGAACATAGAACATAGAACATAGAACATAGAACATAGAATATAGAACATAGAAAATAGAACATAGAACATAGAACATAGGACATAGAAAATAGAACATAGAAAATAGAACATAGAACATAGAACATAGAACATAGAACATAGAACATAGAATATAGAACATAGAACATAGAACATAGAACATAGAACATAGAACATAGAACATAGAACATAGAACATAGAACATAGAACATAGAACATAGAACATAGAACATAGAACATAGAACATAGAACATAGAACATAGAACATAGAACATAGAACACAGAACATAGAACATAGAACATAGAACATAGAACATAGAACATAGAACATAGAACATAGAACATAGAACATAGAACATAGAACATGGAGCATAGAACATAGAACATAGAATATAGGCAGATAAACATAGAACATAGAATATAGGCAGATAAACAAAGAATATATACCATAAAAAAGGGTCGAACATATTGGAACTAGAATATTATATAAGTTATTGGAACTACTCTACTACTTAAGAAGCCAATTGGAACCAGTTCACAATCAATAAAAGTCTGCTACATAAAGGCATATAACCCTTCAAGTTGATTACTCTAGCTATACAGATATATGAACAATTAATATTTTCCAGATACAATCAATATATGAGAGCTAAAAATTAATTTTGAATAATCATTATTTTTATACCCTGAACCCATTAAAAATGGGTATGTAACAGGCAGAAGGAAGCATCTCCGACCCCATAAAGTATACATATTTATTCTGTAATGCTATTTAATTTCCCTTTTTATCATAAGTGCTTAATTTAAAGTTTTGACCCAAATCGACAAAATGGCAAGGGGTTACATCACGTTTTTTTTTCAAAATCGAGGTCGGTGCGAAAATCGAAACTTTTTCGATGATTTTTTTTAATATCTCGGGTAATAGCTCCGCGCGGAGATATGACGTTCCAAAACGACAGAGCTCCGCGCGGAGATATGACGTTCCAAAACGACATAACTCCACGCGGAAATATGACCTTCCAAATCATCACGTATTTTCTCAAAATCGAGGTCGGTAAGAAAATCTAAACTTTTTCAATGATTTTTTTTTAATATCTCGGGTAAAAGCTCCGCGCGGAGATATGACGTTCCAAAACGACATAACTCCGCGCGGAGATATGACGTTCCAAAACGACATAGCTCCGCGCGGAGATATGACGTTCCAAAACGACATAGCTCCACGCGGAGATATGACGTTCCAAAAAGACAGAACTCCGCGCGGAGATATTTCGTTCTAAAACGACAGAACTCCGCGCGGAGATATGACGTTCCAAAACGACAGAACTCCGCGAGAAGATATGTTGTTCCAAAACGACATAACTCCGCGCGGAGATATGACCTTCCAAAACCGAGGTCGGTGCGAAAATCGAAACTTTTTCGATGATTTTTTTTTTAATATCTCGGGTAAATAATGTCTGATTTTAAAATGTTATACCTTTTTGAATGCGTACGGATCCCTACCATCAATTGGCATTCAAACAAAAATAATCATCGATGGGCTGAAAACTGTTGTTGACAAAAAACCGATTCGTTCGTAAATTCAACCTTTTTGATGATATTTTGGAATATTTCCGTTAAATAATGTCCGATTTTGGAATTTTATACCATTTTTTTCTCGTAAGGGTCAATTCTATCGATTGACATCAAAAAAAGGAAATCCAAAATTTTGATGCAAATCGACAAAATGGCAAAGGGTTACATCACGTTTTTTTTCAAAATCGAGGTCGGTGCGAAAATCGAAACTTTTTCGATGATTTTTTTTTAATATCTCGTGTAATAGCTCCGCGCGGAGATATGACGTTCCAAAACGACATAACTCCACGCGGAGATATAACTTTCCAAAACGACATAACTCTACGCGAAGATATGACGTTCCAAAACGACATAACTCCACGCGGAGATATGACGTTCCAAAACGACAGAACTCCGCGCGGAGATATGACGTTCTAAAACAACATAACTCCACGCGGAGATATGACGTTATAAAACAACATAACTCCACGCGGAGATATGACCTTCCAAATCATCAAGATTTTTTTCAAAATTGAGGTCGGTGCGAAAATCGAAACTTTTTCGATGATTTTTTGCTTAATATCTCGGGTAAATAATGTCTGATTTTGAAATGTTATACCTTTTTGAATGCGTACGGATCCCTACCATCAATTGGCATTCAAACAAATCAATCATTGATGGGTTGAAAAATGTTGTTGACAAAAAACCGATTCGTTAGTAAATTCAACCTTTTTGATGATTTTTTGGAATATTTCCGTCAAATAATGTCCGATTTTGGAATTTTATACCATTTTTGACTCGTAAGGATCAGTTCGATCGATTGGCATCAAAAAAAGGAAATCCAAAATTTTGACGCAAATCGACAAAATGGCAAGGGGTTACATCACGAGTTTTTTCAAAATTGAGGTCGGTCCGAAGATCGAAACTTTTTCGATGATTTTTTTTTTAATATCTCGTGTAATAGCTCCGCGCGGAGATATGACGTTCCAAAACGACATAACTCCGCGCGGAGATATGACGTTCCAGAACGACATAACTCCGCGCGGAGATATGACGTTCCAAAACGACATAACTCCGCGCGGAGATATGACGTTCCAAAACGACAGAACTCCGCGCGGAGATATGACGTTCCAAAACGACAGAACTCCGCGAGGAGATATGTCGTTCCTAAACGACAGAACTCCGCGCGGAGATATGACGTTCCAAAACGATAGAACTCCGCGCGGCGATATGACGTTCCAAAACGACAGAACTCCGCGCGGAGATATGACGTTCTAAAACGACATAACTCCACGCGGAGATATGACCTTCCAAATCATCAAGATTTTTTTCAAAATCGAGGTCGGTGCGAAAATCGAAACTTTTTCGATGATTTTTTGCTTAATATCTCGGGTAAATAATGTCTGATTTTAAAATGTTATACCCTTTTGAATGCGTACGAATCCCTAACATCAATTGGCATTCAAACAAATCAATCATTGATGGGTTGAAAAATGTTGTTGACAAAAAACCGATTCGTTCGTAAATTCAACCTTTTTGATGAGTTTTTGGAATATTTCCGTCAAATAATGTCCGATTTTGGAATTTTATACCATTTTTGACTCGTAAGGATCAGTTCTATCGATTGGCATCAAAAAAAGGAAATCCAAAATTTTAACCCAAATCGACAAAATTGCAAGGGGTTACATCACGAGTTTTTTCAAAATTGAGCTCGGTGCGAAAATCGAAACTTTTTCGATGATTTTTCGCTTAATATCTCGGGTAAATAATGTCTGATTTTAAAATGTTATACCCTTTTGAATGCGTACGGATCCCTACCATCAATTGGCATTCAAACAAATCAATCATTGATGGGTTGAAAAATGTTGTTGACAAAAAACCGATTCGTTCGTAAATTCAACCTTTTTGATGATTTTTTGGAATATTTCCGTCAAATAATGTCCGATTTTGGAATTTTATACCATTTTTGTCTCGTAAGGGTAAATTCTATCGATTGGCATCAAAAAAAGGAAATCCAAAATTGTGACACAAATCGACAAAATGGCAAGGTGTTACATCACGTTTTATTTTCAAAATCGAGGTCGGTGCGAAAATCGAAACTTTTTCGATGATTTTTTTTTTAATATCTCGTGTAATAGCTCCGCGCGGAGATATGACGTTCCAAAACGACATAACTCCGCGCGGAGATATGACGTTCCAAAACGACATAATATCTCGGGTAATAAATCCGCGCGGAGATATGACGTTCCAAAACGACATAATATCTCGGGTAATAGCTCCGCGCGGAGATATGACGTTCCAAAACGACATAATATCTCGGGTAATAGCTCCGCTTGCAGATATGACGTTCCAAAACGATATAACTCCGCGCGGAGATATGACGTTCCAAAACGACATAATATCTCGGGTAATAGCTCCGCTTGGAGATATGACGTTCCAAAACGACATAACTCCGCGCGGAGATATGACGTTACAAAACGACATAGTATCTCGGGTAACAAATCCGCTCGGAGATATGACGTTCCAAAACGACATAATATCTCGGGTAATAGCTCCGCTTGGAGATATGACGTTCCAAAACGACATAATATCTAGGGTAATAGCTCCGCTTGGAGATATGACGTTTCCAAACGACATAACTCCGCGCGGAGATATGACGTTCCAAACCGACATAACTCCGCGCGGAGATATGACGTTCCAAAACGACATAACTCCGCGCGGAGATATGACGTTCCAAAACGACATAATATCTCGGGTAATAGCTCCGCTTGGAGATATGACGTTCCAAAACGACATAATATCTCGGGTAATAGCTCCGCTTGGAGATATGACGTTCCAAAACGACATAACTCCGCGCGTAGATATGACGTTCCAAAACGACATAATATCTCGGGTAATAGCTCCGCTTGGATATATGACGTTCCAAAACGACATAACTCCGCGCGGAGATATGACGTTTCCAAACGAATTAGCTCCGCGCGGAGA